TCCCTAAATGACACTTGATTGATAAATTATTAATGTTAGTTTAAATAAACTTATTTTTCCTGGATGGTTGCATGTTCTTCCCCTTTAGAAAGCTACCTTGAGGCTTCTTTTTCCAATTAGCTTTAGGTATGTCCTTAAATAAGAAAATTAAGTGCTACTGTTTTCACAAATGACTATGTAGCATTGCTTCTGAATCATTTTCTTGTTAATCAAAGGATAACCCAGATAGAAGTTAAAGGGAGTAGTCATGCCCTGCCTTGGTATTTTAGAAAATATTGGCCACCAGTTAACACTGCAACTTGTCAGATACCTACTTGCCCATCAGAGACAGAAGGTTTGAAAGTACACAAAGACTATACATCATGATGACCAATTTGTTCAAAAACTTTGAACATTTTTATGGGGAAAGACATTGTATGCTGCATTTTTTAACCTACAAAGCATCAGAAAAAATTATGAAAAGATACGTTGGCTAGCTTTATTTTATTATTGTATTTTTTTAACACCATCTGAGTTTATGCTTCAAAGACTGGTCAAGTGTGGTAGCTCACACTTACAATCCCAGCATGTATGTTTGGCCCAGGCAGGAGGATCAGCAGCCCTAGCAACACAGTCATACCCCATCTCTATTATTTTTTTTAATTTGAAAAAAAAAGATGCAAGACAGGCTAGAGTGAGGGGAATGAGACACTGGCCTTACTTAAAATTTAGGAGAGTACCAAATAACTCAGTGATCAAGATGTATCATATCTTAATGCAATATTTTTAAAAATCAAAACAAAAACCAAGAAAAGTCATGAGAAACAATATGTCAAAAATTTGAATAAAGATCAAAAGAGGTCTGCAATTCTGTTATGTTACTGAAATAGGTTAAGGAATCTTGCTGTTTTCTTCTTTGTTGTAAAAATAAAAACAGATCTAAATATCTCCAGCTGCTGGCATCATTAGTTTAGTAATACTTTAGTCAAAATTGCTGAATAGAAACCATTATTTCCTATCATCTACACTTAAGATAGGTCACTTAATTTGAATGTCATTATCTTAGCTATGAATCTTCCCAAAGTACTACACTACTTGAAAAGCTAAAGAGAAGTTTAAGAAATAATCCATCATTTCAATTTGCTATGTTTGTGACATAGTCCCATCATTCAGGGTTATGTTACTTGCTTCTAAGTTTATTACATAAATAGAGGTATACTTTCAGCTACATAACACCTTTTCTTTTAGTATTTTGGAATGGGGGAATTTTTATAGAATATGAACAAAAGAAAAATATCATCTATAGATATTTTCTTTTAGATTGTTCTTATACATAATACCGGAATAATTTGTTTATTGAATAATTGGTTTCATTCTATATAGAGCTATTACTATGTTTCTTTACTTTTCCATGTAGCAAAACTCCTTAAAAGAGTGGTCTACACTTCATATTGTTTCAAACTTTGTCTCCACAGTTTTTCTCTTCTTAAACTTTTTATCATAAAATAACTTCAATGAATCAAAAATCTGCAAGAATACTCATATACTCTTTCTCCATATGCACCATTTGTTATAATTTGCAATCTTTGCCTTACTGCTATACGTTTTTCTTAACACTTGATTATACATATTATGCCACTTTATTACTAAATATTTCAGCATCTGTTTTCTAAGAATGAAGGCATTCTTTTGTAATCACACTTCAATGATCACATTTAAGAAGTTTAACATGGATTTGGATTTATGCATGAGACGTTAGTGTTAATATCTAATATAGAACACTAACGTCTCATGCATAAATCCAGATCCAAAATTGTCCTAATAACATCATTTATGACATTTTTTTCTGATTCAGAATCCAGCTAAGGGTCATGCATTGCATTTAGCGCACTGTCTCTGGTATCCATTATTATGAAACAATACCTAAGGTTGTGTTTGTCTTTTATGATATCGACACTTTTTAAGAGTGCACAGGCTGGTTATTTTGTGGAGTGTCCTTTAATGATTTTTTCTAATGTATCCTCTTTATTGGAATCAAATATGCATTTGGGGCAGTGACACAGTACATATGATGTTGTAACTTCAATGCATTATATCAGGGAGAGCATGATGTCAGTTTCTGATGGTATTAACTTGGATTACTTAGAGAAGACGATGCCCCCTCTGCATTTTCCACTAAAATTTACACATTTTTTTCTTCTCCAATTAATCAGTCTTCTGTGGGTAAATGCTTTGATACTGGGTAATTGCCCTATTGCTTTTTAAACTTTCACTTAATAATTTTGGTATCTGTTAATGATTCTGGCCTTTGTTATAAGGATAAAATCAGATCTAAACTTAGTATCTCCAGCTCATGGCATCATTAGTTTAGTAATATTTTAGTCAAAATTCGTGAATAGAAACCATTCACTATTCACTGAACCAGTCATGAGCATATTGACTGCAAAATGGTAATTTTCCAACTCTATTATTTCTTCTACATTTATTGGTTGGCACATTCTGCAAGGAAGATACTTCACTTTTCCTTATGTATTTACTTGCTTACCTTGCCACCGGTACGAACTCATTGGTTCTTACTTCAGCTAATGGTTTCTAATTCTTTTGTTATTCATTTTGAGGCTCAAATTTTCCCATATTTTCTCAGAAAGACCCCTTGATGTTGCCACACTTCTATCATTTTTAAATGATTCCATCATTTTTTGAGCTCTCCCTTATTTTCTGGTATAACAAGATGCTACAGTTCATCTGGTACATTTTCCATCCCAGCCTTAGAATTGGCCATTTCACCAAGATAAATCTGGTTCCTATTAGCAAAAAGTCATATTTGAAAACAAAAATTTGGGTGCTAGATATGCTCACTGCTCCAGGGTGTGGCTGCTTCTAGGCACACAATAAAATGTGCTCAAGTACTTTGTGCAGTTCATGGCCAAGTCTCAGTCTTCATGGTACCTGACCCATTAGCAGCATTTAATTTTGATGATCACACCTTTCTCTTGGCAGTACAGTCTTCATGAAGCTTCTAGGAAATGATGGTCTCTTGGTTTTCCTCTGTCCTCAATGGGATACTCCTTCCCAGTCCCTTTTAATTTTCCCTACTTTTCTCTATACTCATGTAAAGTTGAGGACTCTGATCCTTTTCTCATGTGTATGTATACTTACTCCCTAGGTAATCTCATCTGACAACTCTCAAGTTTTTATCTCAAACCCAGTATTCTCCCTCAAGCTCTGGATTTTACGTCCATTTATTTCTACTTAGCATGTTCACCTGCATCTCCAATAGATGTCTAAATACAACATATATAAAATCAAATCTTTCCAGACCTGGTCCACCAGTAGCCTGCCCTTAAATTATGCCTTTGCATACATAATGCAACCTAAATAACAAACTGATTTTGGTCATTCACTGCCATCAGGGAGCACCCATTGTTTCCTCTGCCTCTGCCATCTGTTGTGATTTTGAGTTCCATAGAGGAAAGGGGGAGATGGGAGAAGGTAGGACAGAAGTCAAAATTACTGTACATATAAGCTGTACATTTCCTGTGAGACTGTTAAATTCACTCTACATTCAAAATTGGCAGCAGACGTCACTAACATGGCCCTAGAGTGATTCATATAATTTCAGCTGAGGTAAGAAATATCTTGACAGACATTCAAATGTGTTTGGGGTATTTCTGGACAATCACTGTGATGTCAACAGTCAGGTTTTGAAAGACACATGTGAAATGAGTATTAAAATATTTCTACTGGTGGCCAGGCATGGTGGCTCATGTCTGTCATCTCAGCACTTTGGGAGGCCGAGGCAGGTGGATCAAGTCAGGTGTTCAAGACCAGCCTGGCCAAGATGGTGAAACCTCATCTCTACTAATAAAGCAAAAATTAGCTGGGCTTGGTGGTGGACACCTGTAATCCTAGGTACTTAGGCGGTTGAGGGAGAGAATTGCTTGAACCCAGGAGTCAGAGGTTGCAGTGAGCTGAGATCGCACCACTGCATTCCAGCCTGGGCGACAGAGCAAGACTCAGTCTCAAAAAAAAAAAAAAAAAAAAAAAAAAAAAAATCTACTGTTAAGATTAGATTTTTATGGCAACCAGTAAAAATGAAGGCATCATTAGGAAGTAAACATCCCTGCTTCTTATCAGGGCACCCAGTTCACTTCATGCTAAGATTTTTTGGATTTTTTGGTTCCTTTGCCAGTGATGTTCCTGGGATATTCGGAACCATTTCCTCATGTGTAAACTGGTGTAGTCACAACTCTTCTAATTAGGTGGAAAAGTTCATCATACTAGTCAGAGTGTGGGATGAGAATGTGGTCTAAATGTTTGAGTCTCCAGTTCAATTCCACTATAGTAGAAAAAGAATAACTGCTCATTTCAAATGCATGCAGAAGTGTGTGAATTTCACTTAGCATACCAGCATCATTAACAAGAAAATGAAATTCTTAATTCATATATTTCATGGCCTTCCAAAATTAAATTCTGAAACACCTTGACATTTTAGTAAGTGTAATATATAAGAAATATCGATATAATGTAGGCCAGGCATGGTGGTTTTCTCCTATAATCCCAGCAATTTGGGAGGCCAAGGTGGGTGAGTAGCTTCAGCTCAGGAGTTCAAGACCAGCCTGAGCAACATGGTAAAAACTCGTCTCTATAAAAAATACAAAAATTGGTCAGACATGGTGGTGCATGCTTGTAGTCCCAACTACTCAGGAGCCTGAGATGGGATGATCACTTGAGCCCAGAAGGCGGAGGTTGAAGTGAGCCAAGATTGCGCCACTGCACTCCAGACTAGAAAACAGAGTGAGACCATGTGTCAAAAAATAAATAAGTAAAAAATAGAAAGAAAGAAATGTCAGGTATGGTCATGAAGCATTTCAAATGTAGAGTTCAATAGACCACGTTCTTAAAAGCACAGAGAGCATCTTTTAAATTTCTCTGCTTTTTAACACATTATAGTTTTACAGAGTGGAGAAAACTGGCTCTTTTTTAAATATACAAATTTCTTGACTTGATGACTTTCACAGATACAACATACTCAGGGGAGATTGGCACCAAGAAAAAGGTGAAAAGACTATTAAGCTTTCAAAGATACTTCCATGCATCAAGGCTGCTTCGTGGAATTATACCACAAGCCCCTCTCCACCTGCTGGATGAAGACTACCTTGGACAAGCAAGGGTAAGCTGACTGCCCTCTGTCTCCTCACAGTAGGCCGGTGCCCAAGAGCATGTGCCTCAGCTGATAGCACTGGGGTTGGAGTCCTGCTCAGCCTCTGAGGAGCTCTGTGACCCTGAGCTCATTATTCTGTACATCTGGACTTGTTCCTCTAATAGAAAATGAAATTAACAGAAACATCCCCCTTATGAGGTATATGAAGTAAACCATGTTTATATGCTTAATATGCCCATGCCTAACACATACTAACCATTTTCATGTTTATAAAGGTACAAAACATATTTACACAATATTAATAAAGCAAAATTTTTGACTGGTGGATTACTAATGAGAGAATAACTAAATTTTTTAATTCATTAAATTATCTCATTGTAATGGCTACACTAAAAATACCCAATAATTATCAACTCTTAATTCTACTTTAGGCTGTTAATGCAGTGTATTTTCCTTTTCATAATTTTAATTCATTTGAATAAATTTTAATAATTCCACAATTATTTTTCTAATCCATTGATCTGAGAGTAGAAATTAATGTGTGACAATCTGAAAAATGTGTACAGGTTATGTCTAGCCCAAACTGCCAGAGGAATTTCAATTTCAGCAATAAATGCCCCAGTTTATACAGAGATCGAAGATAGATTTTATAGCTTACATGCTAAGTAATATGATACTAATTATATCTATTAAGAAATATATACCATTGGCAGGGCACCTTGCCTCATGCCTATAATCCCAGTACTTTCAGAGGCTGAGGCATGAGGATTGCTTAAGCTCAGGAGGTCAAGGCTGCAATGAGGTATGATGATGCTACTGCACTCCAACTTGGGGGACAGAGTGAGACCAGGTCTTAAAAAGAAAGGAAGGAAGGGAGAGAGAGAGGGAGAGAGGGGAAAAGAAAGAGGAAAAGGAAGAGGAAGGAGGAGGAGGAGGAAGAGGAGGAGGAGGGAGGAGAGTGAGGGAAGGAAAAGAAGGAAGGGAAGAGGAGGAGAAGGCAGGCATGCAGGCTAGTAATACATGCCACTGGAGAAAGGAACAGCAAGTTATGTCAAAAGAGCTCATTCCCAACAGATCTTCAAAAGGAAAAACAAAATCATTCCTAACAAAATCATTCCTAAGAACTTAAGGCCTGAGATTGGACAAATTTTTGAAAGTTTGCTTGTTTGTTTGTTAAGAAAAGAACAAGCCTAAGCTTCCCCAGCCCTGGAATGTCACTGACAGAGCACTCTTGGTGGTGTCTCTCCTCTAAGCAGCCGTGTCTCAAGAAAAGGGTGTGAGATGTAGAAAGGACAGAGGGCTGAAAGTCCAGCTTTCAGAGGCCAAGTCCTGGGGCTGACTGTGATACTGTGTGACTTCAGTAAAAGACTCACAGAATCTAAAGCTCAGACATAACCTAATATCCCTTCATTTTTCTGATGTGTTGTGAAGGTCTTTCTGTGTCATGCTGAGGCATTTTAATTTTATGGTAGGACGTAGAGAAACTATTGAGTTGCACTAGATGGTAGTATGCTAGGATTTTCAACTTTTTAATTGTTTAATCCACTGTATCTCAAAGTAAACGTTTGAGTCTCCAGTGATTCATTTGCGTGCTGTTTTTTGTTTGCCTTTTCAGCATATGCTCTCCAAAGTGGGAATGTGGGATTTTGACATTTTCTTGTTTGATCGCTTGACAAATGGTAAGTTACCCAAAAGAATTCTCACTCAAATACACACCATAAAGTGGGATTAATTTCATGAAAAACAAAATTTATTTTTAAACACTGCTATTCCTTTTTCCCTCTTTTTCCATTTTCATAAATCTACAGCTACTGAAGAAAGACTAGGGTAAGGGAAAATTAACTCAGATGAAGAATAAGGACTGAATTTGACCTTAGAATCTTAAGACAGTTTCCTTCTGGCCTTGATGATCCCAAAGGAATTTAGAAATCACAGATTAGATTCTTTTCTTGCAGAATATTTTGGCCACATTCAAAAGTAGGGAGTTCTTTGTTGATGAAAACTAGAAACAAAAGCATATCTCATCAGCCCTGACTTTTATAGGGCAGGGTGCTCGTGCAGTTGAGCTAAGTCTTCTCTGCTGCTGGTATTGCTCAAAGATGTTTGACGTCATCAGAAGGAAACAATGTAAAAGCTTAGGCTGTAGCCAGAGGGAAAAGTAAACATCCTCACTGGTGTCACTTCTTATATTTTTGTGCCTACAAAGACCTTCCTTAAGAAAATAATAAAAGCCTATTATATTTTTTATGGACCTCTTTATAATTTTAATTATTCACATTTCTTTACAGGCAGATGATGGGATTTAGAAACTCAGCCAAGCTTTAAATAGATTTCTGATATACATAATGTATTTTATATCTTTGGCATTTCTTTACTATTCACTTTAAATATTGGAACAGTTGTTTCCATACTGTCTTTTTAGTTTGTGTGTGTTTATTATTATACTTTAAGTTCTGGGGTACATGTGCAGATCATGCCAGTTTGTTACATAGATATACACGTGCCATGGTGGTTTGCTGCACCTATCCCCGTCATCTACATTAGATATTTCTCCTAATGTTACCCCTCCCCAATCCCCCCACCCCCTGTTATCCCTCCCCTAGTCCCCCCACCCCGCAACAAGCCACAGTGTGTGATGTTTCCCTCCCTGTGTCCATGTGTTCTCATTGTTCAACACCCACTTATGAGTGAGAACATGCAGTGTTTAAAAACCTATTATATTTTTATCTGGCCATTAAACAAATGCTGATGAGCTTTGAGAGCCAATTAAAGACATCACATTTAATGCTGATGTTGATAGTTCTCATCATTTGCCAGCTTTGTTCTTTAAGTCATTATATATGGTTTTTTCATCATTCTATTGCTTGGCAAACAATATGCAGTTGAGAGAAATACAGCGTAAGACCATGAAATGGGCCTTTACATTGTGGAAAGCAAACTAGACCATAGAGAGATGAATCTCATAATTTTGCACTTCATTTTGCTCAAATCAGCTGAGAAATGGATACTGGTAAATGAAGTTACCTGTGAACAAAAGGACTTGTTAAATGGTATTTGTTTAAAAGAGAATATAATCATGACTCTCACAGAAATATGAAATGGCCACATGTCAGAGATTTTCTTTAACTCAATTAACTAGAGATCCAGTAAGATGCTACAACTAGTTCAAAGAAGAAGTCAAAGAGCCTCACATGTGTACACAGTATACACCACATATATCTAAGAAATTCTGAAATTGATTTATAAGTAGACACAAAATCAAGAGGGGGAAATAAATTGTATTTCCACCTAACTGATTTCGTTTTTCCTATGTTTTCTTCCAGTAGTTTCATAGTTTCAGGTCTTACATATAAGTCTTAGTGTTGATTTTTTATGTGGTGAGAGATAAAGGTCTAATTTCATTCTTCTACATGTGGATATCCAGCTTTCCCTGCACCATTTACTGAAGAGATGTCCTTTCCCTAATGTGTTTTTGGTGCCTTTGCAAAACATCAGTTGGCTTACAGATGCATGAATTTATTTCTGTGTTCTCTGTTCTGTTCCATTGGTCTCACTGTCCGTGCTTTTAAAATTCAAAATCATTTATACCTAAATAAACAATATTTCTTGAATCCTTACAAGTCATTACAGCTTCAATTTTGCATCTCTGCTGACTTGAATTCTAAAATAGCTCATAGTCAGATCTCCTCTTGAGTGATTTTCCATAGGAAGAAGAATAGGCTATGACTATTAAGCAGTACAGTGGTTTAGATACACCTGTAAATGGAATAGTCAACTGGAAGTGACTTAAGGAACATTTCAAGTGGCCATAAGCTGTGTCTTTAAAAAAATATACATATACATGTGCATGTGTGGGTGGGTGTGTATGTATCCCCAACACCTCAGTAGACAGATTCCTTCTAACTCTTAATGTTTTCATTGCCTTTGGTGAAGGGAGGAGGCCTGAGCTAATTTTCCTTGTACAATAAGAAAAAACCTAGGACCAGATCATAGTAATATGCTCTATACTTGAATAATTTCACACCAAAAGGGGAAAAATATTCTATCAGAGAAACTTTATAACAGAGACTTTGGATCTTATTGCCAATATTGATATTTTAGCGGTGGTAAACACGAGGTAAAGGAAGTGACTGTTTTCCTGCAGGAAACAGCCTGGTAACACTGCTGTGCCACCTCTTCAATACACATGGACTTATTCACCATTTCAAGTTAGATATGGTGACCTTACACAGATTTTTAGGTAAGTCTTTTCTTCACGTTTCTAGTCCCATCCTCATGAATAATGGCAATGCATAATACTCTTTAATATAAAGTAATAAGAACCATAGGATGATGAAGACCTCCAATTAATCTTAAAAGATCTCATCTTACTTTTAAAATATGGTTTGTCCATCCTAAATCATTTAAAAGTTGTTTACGTGATTATAGTTGATCCTGAATAACTTGGGGGTTAGGGGTGCTGACCCCCTATGTAGTAAAAAAATCTGTATATAGCTTTTGACTCTCAAAAACCCAACTACTAATAGCTTACTACTATTGACTGGAAGCCTTACCAATAACAAATAGTTAATTAGCACATACTTAGTATGTTCTATGTATTATGTACTATGTTCTTACAGCAAAGACAGATAAAATGTATTTTAAAAATTGCAGGGAAGAGCAAATGTATTTACTATTCATCAAGTGGAAGTGGAACATCTTGAAGGTTTTCATCCTCATCATCTTCACACTAAGTAGGCTGAGGAAGAAGAGGAAGAGCAGGGGTTGGTCTTGCTGTCCCAGGGGTGGCAGAGGCAGAAAAAAATCTGAGTACAAGGAGACTCATGTGGTTTAAACCCATGTGGTCGAGGGTCAAGTGTAGTTATGTTTATAATAAAGTATACATAAAGAAACCCACCAGGAACATATACTTTTCAAAGATGATACTGGTCTGCTGACATATTAACAAACCTCCAGCAGCATGTGCCTCAAATAATTCTAATCAGGACATGAGTTATTGAAAATTTTCAATAGGCTTTTAAAAAAATAGTAACTGCCATTTATGTAGTATCCACTATGGGCAGAGTACTTTTGGCAAGTTATTTCTAACCATTTAAACAAATCTGCATGTAGGATGTTATCATCACCATTTGCCCCGTAGCTTAGAGAGGTACATAGAGGTTTCATTACTTTCCCAAAGCCAACAGCTAGTGAGTGGCAGAATCTGAGTCCAAGCCTAGCTCTGTTGACTGGGGAGCCCGCCATCTCTCCACTCAACTCCATCATTACTCTGTGTCGAAAGGCAGCCTCACTTCTTATTTAAATTTGTGCATATTCTTATTTATCTGCCAGTGTATTTTTCAGGGCACATTTCTAATCACCAAATGACTTTCCTCTGCCATTTGGCACGTTTCTGGCTTTTGACTTGCCACATGGCTGTACTTTGATTTTGGAAGCTGACTTAATGCCATCAGAAGAAAATAACAGGCACAACAGTAATAACGGCAGCCACAACCAGGTTTCTATGGTGCTTACATCTGCTGGACGCTCTTCCAAGGACTTGCATATATTAATAAACACATGTAATCCTTACTCAGGGCTATTGCTATCCTCATCTTACAGAGAAGGAAACTGAGCAAACTTGGCAGTTAAGTAACTTGCCCAATACAGACCTTAATGATAGCGGGTTTAAATATGATTGTAATATATACCTGCTGAATAAAAGTGTGTGCAACACAACAGAAATATTTGAACCAGCCACAACACGGCTCATTACCAGAAACCCAAATATTCTCAAGCTGACTATTTTAATTGATTGAGCAAACTACTGGCCATGCGTAGGACCAAGTAATTTTGATTTGTCTAAAAAGAGAGATACAGATACAGATACTTCGGACACATGTATCTACCCAGAAAACATGTAAAGAATGCAAAGATTTGGCAACAGAATTAACACCAGAATCCAGAGCCAGATTCACAGCAAATGGCTGAATCTCGCCACACTTGCAAATCAGGATGTTCTATACACACTGAATATATTGCATCCTGAGCATCACCTTGGTTATGAGCTGAAGCAGGCTAGTGTCTTCCATAAAGAGCAAACCAAAATTGCCCTGCCTGGGTCTCTGCTTGGTTCCAAGAGTACCCTAAGCCTTGCATTAGACAGCAGGAGCATGAAAAATGATATTCTAACTTGAATAAGGTAGAAATAAATCCAAGGAGTCTGCAGCTGGATCAAGGCAGTACTCTGAATTTCTGCCCTAAGAAGCCCTGATTTGCTTTCGTTGGTATTTGTTATTCAAGTGTTAACCAGTCTTTGGATATCAGTCTTCTGATGCTACCAGGGCTTTTTGAAGGAAATCTCATTTGTGGCATATTTTTTATAAATGACAGAAATATATACTCAATTAAAGTCTAGTGTGAGATAAAGTTGTCCTTTTCCTACGTATTTATTTTTCCTATGAATGACAGCCTTTACGAGTGTTAGAAGGGGAGGATTTATGAAGGAGGCGAGAAATCTCAAGGCCTCACAAATCTTTTTGGCCTTTCTCCCCTCTGCTGTCCATCTCTGCTCTCTGCTAAAAACAGCCTAGCGGAACTGCCAAGCTTGCAAACCACGTTTATTTTTAAAGCATCTCTAGGCTGCACATTTTGAAGACGCTGATATTTTTAAGCAAACAGCACCCACAGTAAGTCTAAGCTAGTATACCACTCCTATTTGGGTTTTTGTTAATTATCTGTTTACCTCCTAGTCATGGTTCAAGAAGATTACCACAGCCAAAACCCGTATCACAATGCTGTTCACGCAGCCGACGTCACCCAGGCCATGCACTGCTACCTGAAAGAGCCAAAGGTAAAGCAAGACCCAGCTCCTCCTCAGCCACCTGGAAATGCCAAGGAAACTACCTGCTAGGCCCAAGTCACCCAACATATCTGAGTAACTATGTTATGTGTCATTAACAATGTGAACACAAATTATCAGTATTATGGTTCCAGTATCAGCTCTCAAAGTCTTTCAAAGTTCATGAAAAAGGATGGGGCTCATCTGAGGTTTTCTTTCATATTTTGTATATTTTGAGGCTGTATTCAGACCAAAAAAAAAAAACCTTCTCCTCTATGATAATCTACATTTTAGATATCTTCAGTGGTCCCAAGAACTAGTTCTGTGTCTTGGATCTTGGCCACAAACAGCACCAGCATTGAACTTTGCTAGGAAAAGTCTCCTACCTCATGAGTTTTGATCAACAAATGGAATCAGAGCTCCTAAGTCTGATGTTCTATTTCCTACTGAGCCAACTGGATATCCTGATTCAGGGCCCAAGAAAACTTGTGAATGTCAAAGACCTCTCAGCAAGCATGTTCTGATGCAATAAACCAATCCAAAGTTAAAAATTTTAAACATCATAATAATGCTCAATATTCCAGATTTAGACAGTCCTTAGCTGTATAAAATCTGCTGGTACAAGGTACAGGGTGAGTTTTCTTAAGGTTTCTGGAGAACTGTATTCTAATACTGTTGAGTTCAATCTGTTTTTAACATTCCCCTACATACACGGATGCTTTGACAGCAACCACTAAATATACAGATGCCAAACAGGTACTCTCAGGATAAAGCTGAGTGGTGGATGCCTCATCCCTGCAAAATATCGCAAGGAAATTAATGGCTTTGCTTTTTTAATTTCCAAGTAGTCCAAACTTTGTAATATGTCATACAGTTGTATTTTTTTTCTCCTCTCCCGCCTTCCCCATACAGTTGCATTTTTAGTTAGTACTGGATTCCTATGTCTCTGCTTATTTCCCTAGCTAACCAGAAAATCACAGATTCTCATACATTCTCCCACTATTTATTACACATTAAAAAATGCAGATCTTGCAAGTCAGCCCACTTCTTTCAAAGTGGCAAAGATCTATTAAACAGTTGAAATTCACAAATGATTTTTTAATATGTCCATCACTGCAACTTCAACTTTTTTCTTCATTTACACCTTTCTCTAGGAGCAAGGCTGATTTCAGGCTCTGTCTTCTCCCTATCCACCCAACAGCAGTGTTGCCGACAAGCAACGCCATCATAACAGCAAAACAAAATAGAGTGGAGTAGGAAGAAGGGGATACCTGAATGATCTACACAATTTGAGTTTACTCAATTATTTCTCACACAGTCCTTTCCTTTTTGCCTGCAATTATGTGACTATCACCTCATTTAATGCTTCAGAGGGTAAAGGTCTGGCTGATACGATTAAACAATGCCATGATGATTCATTCTGTTTGATTTAGCCAAAATGACTATGAGCCTATTTGTGGAAACACACCAGTCAATCTCCCAATTGGTATTTTTAACAGCTCGCCAGCTTCCTCACGCCTCTGGACATCATGCTTGGATTGCTGGCTGCAGCAGCACACGATGTGGACCACCCAGGGGTGAACCAGCCATTTTTGATAAAAACCAACCACCATCTTGCCAACCTGTATCAGGTAAGGGAGCCCAACCTGGAGCCAGACACAGCATGATCAATTGCCTTCGGCCCAGTGCTCAAGCCTGAATCTTGCCCATGGAGACAGCCTAACTTTAGGATCAGCCTCAATGATGGAGACACATCCAAACAGCATGGGTTTGAAATAGGCCCAGCATATCCCCCAAGGGAGATTAAATTAAATTACAAGGATATACAAAGAATTCAATTTGCTCCAAAGCAGGTTTGAAATTGCCTTAAGTTGAACAGGATCCTTGAACCTCCCCTCTCATGGTCTGAGAAGATCTGTTGCTATGGAGGCTATCTTGTACATAATGACCAGCTGAAGCCAGTTCCTGCAGGACTGCTATGGATACTTCCTAGGTAAAATCCTAATTCAGACTTGAGTCTCTGGGGCCATTTCTGAACTGTGTGTTGGCCTCTGAGTCAGAGATACATCATTAAAGACAATAGGCATCCTTCATTGTCATAAAATAGTTGAGCAACATGAGAAGGTTGGCCTGAAGGATTCTTATCTACAATATTGTTTCAGATATTAAGCCCTATATCATAAATGAATTACTTCCAGAATTTTCAATGTAGTCCTTTGAATACCTTCAGCTGGCATTAACAATATCATTTCACGCACGAGTGTCACTGATCTCAGTTTTAGTAGATCTTTTGAAAAAAATTGAGTGCTGTAACAAATCCTGGCAGATGCCCATACAACAGCTGCATTAAGCAAGATTTTGCAACTTGAGGATGCATTCCTTTCCAGTAAAGTACAATTGGGACATGAAAAGAAGCCTTTCTCCATTCAGTTGATTAGCTTTGGGCACAGGTATAAATCAGTATTCCAAGGCATATGTGTTTACCTAGCAAATACTTCCATTCTGAGCTCCCTTGAGTTGTCAGCCAGCACCGAGAGCTGGGATAGATATGGCCACATAGGGGAGACAGGACAATAGAACTAAAAAAAGACTTTTGATGATGACCTAAAAATTAAGCAAAGATAAATAAAAAGCTAAAACTTAATTTTCTAAACCATCTCAGCAGCAAAATGTATTGATTGTGAAAAGACACAGATATTTAACTAGGGAAAAAATGAATAACATCCTGAAAGCCCCCAAACAAGTTTTTTTCCTCCTGTCAGTTTTGACTTTTTTCAAATGCTATTTGTTAGACAAAATCAGTCAACAAAGTTGGTTACTCGGTCCATTCCCATATAATGTGAAAACACTTACACGATTCTAATTTCTCATCATCAAATCAATCCTACCAATGATGTTTCAGAGACTAACTACTTCTATTGACTGGTTTGTACATAAAAATAAAGGTCATAAGGCCAGGCACAGTGGCTCACACCTGTAATCCCAGTACTTTGGGAGACTGAGGCAGGCAGATCATGAGTTCAAGAGATCAAGACTATCCTGGCCAACATGGTAAAACCCTGTCTCTACTAAAAATACGAACATTAGCCAGGCATGGTGACATGTGCCTATAGTCCTAGCTACTCGGGAGGCTGAGGCAGGAGAATCGCTTGAATCTGAGAGGGAGAGATTGCAGTGAGCCGAGATCGTGCCACTGCACTCCACCCTGGTGACAGAGCGAGATGCTGTCTCTAAATAAATAAGTCTACATTTTCACATGTAATATATGAAAAACGTGTAATGAGTTCTCATTTAGAGAGGAATTCAGAAAGAGATATGCTGATTAAAAAAAAGACATAAAAGCAAGAAAATAAGTGTAGAATTTCATTAACAGTGAAGAACTACATGCTCACTGATGATGAACAAAAATTGATTCTCAAAAATACCCCAGTCTATCTGATTCAGATACTAACGATTTTCTCAGAAAAATTGATTTCTTTCTCAAACTTTTGAAGTGCAGATCATTTTTAATGGCATTTCTTTTCATCTTTTTATTTAAAAAAATGAATAGCCTTTTTTTCCTTTTTTTTTTTTTTTTTTTGAGATGGAATTTCGCTCTTGTTGCCCAGGCTGGAGAGTGATGGTGCAATCTTGGCTCACCGCAACCTCTACTTCCCAGGTTGAAGCGATTCTCCTGCCTCAGCCTCCCAAGTAGCTGAGATTATAGGCATACACCACCACATTTGACTAATTTTGTATTTTTAGTAGAGATGGGGTTTCTCCATGTTGGTCAGGCTGGTCTTGAACTCCTGACCTCAGGTGATGTGACCGCCTTGACCTCCCAAAGTGCTGGGATTACAGGGGTGAGCCATCACACCCAGCTATAGTCACATAGTTTTAATCAGCAACTACTTATTGCATATATTGGCTCATTATCCAGGTCCTAGAAGTTCAAAGATGAATGAAAGGCAATCTCTGCCCTCAAACATTTGTTCAAACTCAGATTCTCAAAATGAGCAAAATCCAAGCAAACTTAATTCCAGTCTGAAAGAGGTTTGAGGAATTCGCTCATGTACATAAAAATGTTTCCTTAAAACTTCGAAGAGTGAATACCTGTGCTGTTCTTTATATCCAAAGATGTTACTAGAATAAAGTGAGCTACTGTTTTTTTTCCAGCAGTAAATTTATTCTTTAATTCTCTGGCCTTGTCCCTGTAAGGAAAGAGAGGACAGAAGGATCCATGTGTGTGTGTGTGTGTGTGTGTGTGTGTGTGTGTGTGTGTGTGTGTGGTGTGTGTGTGTGTTTTCAGAAACAGGATCTTGCTTGCTCACCCAGGCTGGAGTGCAGAAATGCAATCACAGCAGCTCACTGCAGCCGGGAATTCCTGCCTCAAGCAATCCCTCCATCTCAGCCTCCCAAGTAGCCAGGATTACAGGCACCTGCCACCACACCTGACTAATTCTGTTTTGTAGGGACAGGGTCTCACTATGTTGCCCATGCTAGTCTCGAACTCCTGGCCTCAAGTGATCATCCCGCCTCAGCCTACCAAACACAGGAATTCCTGGCATAAACCTCCTGGGACGACAGGCATAAGCCGCCATGCCTGGCTGAGAAGGATCTCTTTGATCATGACTAGGGGGCAATTGGGGGACAAATCCAGGAACCACATTCAGGACACCACCTTTATCAGTCACCTGTTCAACTGGTAGTAGGACCTCTTGGAGGCTGTAGATACGTGTCTTTCAAGATTTAGAGACAAGGTGAAAGGCAAAGCAGTATCACATAGCCACATACAGATCTCTTCAGTGTCAGATAGCTGGCTATAATAAGAGCTGAAAACTTTTACTGGCCGAATTGGAACCTGTAAATACTGAAAGTAAAAATTATTTAAAACGATTTGAAAATAAAAGCAAATTTCAACGTTGTCAAAAAATCATGGTGACTTTATTTTTGGCTATATACCATCACTATTAACTATACTAAGGAACATAAAAAAAGATGAAGAAAATTTCTTTTAAAAAGTTCAGTTCAACAAACTAACCTTTATTCAACACTTACTATGATCCAAACACTGTGCTAAATGCCTTCGATGTAGTATGTTATGAATCTTCACAACAGCCCAGGGAAGTGGGCACTATTATCATACCTATTTTCCACAATGATAAAAATTGATAGTTGGGAAATTGAAGTGCTTTCCCTGAAAATAAACAGATAATAGCAGAACTGGAATTAGAACTCAACTTTTTGGTTTCCAGGGCCAAACTGCCTAAGAACTATGCGCACTGCCTCTGAAATTCATGTTGATCACCCACCATGTACAAGAAACTAAGAGCTCTCCTACACTCCTCCTATTGTAGTGAGGCAGACAAGAGGATTCTAGAAAAGTGATCCAGGACAGGCATGGTGGCTCACACCTATAATCCCAGCACTTTGGGAGGCCGAGGCAGACGGTTCACTTGAGGTCAGTAGTTGGAGATCAGCCTGGCTAATGTGGTGAAATCCTGTCTCTACTAAAAATACAAAAGATAGCTGGGCATGGTGGCCCATGCTTGTAATCCCAGCTGCTCAGGAGGCTGAGATAGGAGAATCACTTGAACCCAGGAGGCAGAGGTTGCAGTAAGCTGAGATGGCACCACCACACTCCCACCTGGGCGACAGAGGGAGACTCCATCTCAAAATAAAATAGAAAAAAGTGATCTAAAGTTTGAGAGACTTGATACATACTTTAAAGTATTTAGCTACAAACCAATGTGATGGGAAGACAGGGGAAAGAGAAACTGATTCTACAGATGGTTTCCAGGGGGAAAAAAAAACATAGAAAAAGAATGCTATAAACTGGGCCTTAAAGTGTGAGTAACATTTTTAATAGGTGAGATGAAAGGGCATTAGAGGCAGGATGAATTGATGTACTTTTGGGATTAAATTCCACAACTCCAGAATAACTGAAAATGGAATGTCCCTGTGGCCTTTAGCTGAGGATGGTCCTGCCATCACAGCCCCGTCTCTGATCAGTGTCTCGTGCAGATCATGAGTCAGTGCATATGCTCTCTTTTGTAGTAATTTTAGATTAGTTGTACAGGACGTGACCTGGATCAAGAAATCTTCACTCTGCATTAAGTTATAGATGAGGAACTGACACAAATCTTCAAGTTTTCAATATCAAAGGAAAACAATCATGTTACATAATAAATAGATATAAGCTGAGCAACACCATTAACAACACATGGTATTTTAAAATCTTTGGAAATGTAGCCTTTCAGCCTCTCAGGGGTCTGTTTGCTGAGACACAAATGGGCTTTCAGGGAGCTATCTGCAAATTTTCACAGGATGTTCATATGCGCATATGCACATTTTTCTAGGAAGAAGGTCTATAACTTACTCTTATCAAATTTTAAAATGAGCCGCAGATTCTGAAAATGTTAAGAATCATGGTAATGGGGCTGGGTGTGGTGGCTCATGCCTGTCATCCCAGCACTATGGGAGGCTGAGACAGGTGGATCATTTGAGGTCAGAAGTTTAAGACTAGTCTGGCCAGCATGGTGAAACCCTGTCCCTAAGAATACAAAAATTAGCCAGGCACGAATGGTACACACCTGTAATCTCAGCTGCTACTCAGGAAGCTGAGGAGGGAGAATCACTTGAGCCTGGAAGG